AAAGGTAATCGATATTTCCTAATAACTTCTTTACACATTTCCTAACTTTTTCACATTTAAATTACTTAATTACGCGATATTATTAAAATATCAGAAAACAGCGTGGCGAATAAATAGCGAAAGTAATAACAATTGTTGTAGCTTTACGTTTCACACTGGACGTCTTTGAAATGAATCATTTCCAGATCAATTTGTTCAATTGACAGCGATAAAAATAAAATTCGAATCTCGCCGATGTTTTATTTCGTTCGAACGTGACTCCAAAAGGAGCATAGCAAATATCCCTGACTGTATCTTTTGACAGTTAACCGCAATCGTTTAGTGGCCGTATATTTTATCCTTAAAAATAAAAGTGACGCGATGTGAAAACTGTGTCTGGACGATCGTCGAAATTTTTGCATAATTTATATTTCCCCTGTTCGATTATTGTCTTTCTTTCGTACAAGTTTTCATAAAAATTCTGTTTTTAAGACAAAACCGGCCCAAATATACAAACGCCGTTTCAATAATAAATTGAAACCGTATAATAACGTAACGTTTCACAATTTCGCTCAAGAAAGCCATCGAAGTAATTTGCTAATGGAAACAAACGAACGACGTTTCAAAATCTGAAATCAGAAGCTCGTCGAGAAGAGAGCTGCTGAATTAGCCTGCGTTAAAAGATGGTTTGCGTGCACGTGTACCGTCCTCCAATTGGAGGATATAAAAATAAAAATCGGAACATCCAAGACAGCTCGGTAATAAAAATAACGGAAGAAAGGAACGAAGCTGATAGCGATGGCATTTGCTATGGATAATAAGGGGAATCTCGGATACGTTTCACCGTGGACAAAATCACTGGCGGACAATGCTCAATAAACCCGAACCGGCCAAGGCATTCAGTCGTCCCGCAACTGCACCCAATCTTCGTCAACGAACCCAGTACAATCAGAAATTCCTCGCATTTCGATTCTCTTTCCACTCTTTTCCCTTCCACTCCTCCTTGGCTCGCGAGGAATACGAACACGTACTCCGATCGTTTAATGCCGGGACACCGTACGTATATTCCCGGAGAATATACGTACATGCATACGTGACGGGGAATACTATAAGGTCAGATAAAAAAAGAATCTCGCGTCAAGTGGTCGTAGGCGAAACTCGGCAAACGAAACAAGCGGCAGGTCATTCATATTCCTGGTTCGACAGGGAACCATCGTAATTATGATTACGCGAAATTCTACTTGTGATAATCGCGGGATTTGTAATAAACGCGGTTTGCTTGTTCATTTTGATCTCTTTCTCTTTCTCTCCCGATGAAAATTGGTAATAGGTTATAGACTGTCGGTGTAGTGATATGTTTTTACCATTGTGATGACATTCATTAGAATATAATAATTATATTAGCGATTACAGTGATAAATTTCTAGCCAGATATTTTTTTAATAGTTAAAATTTAAAATTATATTTTACTTGCAATTGTTAATAGAAATTCTTTCAAATATCGCTTTTAAGCTAGAGCTTCTTTTTTAAACGTATTCAGTTTAGCAATTGCATTTTACACTCGGTGTTGAATAGTTAATCGCGATGTGATTGAAATAAAAATCGCGAAGCGGCTACAACCACCGGCGTGCTTATTTTCTGGAATAGCTCTGTGCAAAAAGAACTAAAACGAGAGGTAATAAAAACTCGCTATCGATCCGAAGTCTTAACTGCGTCGAATATTTAACATTAACGTGTTGTCCGTCTATCGATTGTTTTCTATGTTTTATCCACGCCTGCAACGAAATTCTAATTCCCGACGTTCTCCCTTTACAGTTATTTTTTTAAATGTTTATTGTGCGTTGTCGAAAGAAATTTATAAAAAACAAAAATTAATAACATAATTTTTCGTCGATTTCGACAAATCTGAAAGAAAGTCAAATTGTGAAATATTCGGCTCTTCGAGGAGCAACGAACGCTAAAAATTAAATGGCAAGAGGGGAGAGAAAGGTCGGGAGATAAAATTAGAAAGAGTTCGATAAAAATTTTACGCAACACGGTGTTTCTCTCTCACGTTTCTCTCTGTTTGCCTCGAAGTTCCCCCGAAACGGAGTGCCGAACGCCAAAAATTAAACAGCAAAAATAAGTCAAACAAGAGGGAACTCGGCGCAATATCCACCCACCTATAATCCCGTACTCTCTCGTAACGCTATTTGCTTGAAAGTTCCTCCGAAACTATTAATTTTCCCCGGGACAAGAGCCACGTTTCTCTTCGGGGAGGGTGAGAAATCTGCATTTCCAATTCCGCTAGATTAGTGATAAATAGCCAATCGGGATCGATCCGCGAGGAATTGAAACGCGAGCCAAGAGACGATTCGAATTTCGTCCTCTCTGATACGTAATCGTGGAAAGCGAAAAAGAGAAAGAGAAAGAGAGAGAGAGAGAGAGAGAGAAAGGAACGATGGAAAAGTTGGAACGGAAGAAGAGGCAAACGTCTTTACATCGAGGCTGGTTCGCGAAAGGTTGTAGACCTTGCTTTGTATGTATTATTAACGCGATGTACATCGATTTTGTCTGCCTGCCTCGGTAAACTCATTTCCATTCGCGGCGGAAGCGCTCTTCGCGAACGAATCGATCCTCCGCCGCGTCGAGGATTTTCTCGGCACCTCCCGTTCGAAGAGGAATCGACTCGCGGATGTCGCGGCCGATCGACAAACCGGCCTGCAACCGACTGAAACGTTTCACCGGCGAACAGTTAAATCGAGGACTTGCATATGGGAACGCGGGCGAGTTTATTTGTTTGCACGGTTTTACGCGCGAGCGTGCTTTTGTCGAGCATTAGCCGCATTGTTCGCGCGAGTGTGACGCATAAGTGGCAGAATAAGCGGAGGAACTTCGTGTGACGACGAGGCGGTCGAATGAAAATGAATGAAACGAATGAATCTTGCATCATTTGCTAATTAATAATGTTGGCGAGTTATCGATATTGATGAAACATTGGTGAAACAGCAAGTTTTACTATTTCATATTTAACTAGTAAAGAATTTAATTTAAGATTTGGAAAGTTACGATTGATATTATTACTCATGTAATTAAAACGGAGGAGGATTTTTTTTTCATTGAATTTGGAAAATTGGCTATTCTCGGCGAAATCATTTTCGTTAGAGAGACGTTAACAGTTTAATCCTCGAGTAATTCGGTATTTGATCCTACTTTGTATCTCAAATTAGATTAAAGTGAAATTTTTGCAGACGTAAAATTTGCTTGAGACTTGCTAAGGGGAGTTTTACTGTCCTGGCCAGTATAATGTATAAAATATATAATATATAATATATAATAAAAAAAAAAGAAACAATCGTAAACATTGGAATCAAAATGATAAGAAAAAAGCCATTACTTGTTATTATCGAAGCTGACGTCGAACGTAATTGGAAAAAAGTACATAACGAAATGTAGGAGAAATGTAAAAAAACAGCGAGAGATGTCGAACAAATGTCGAGCAAAAAATGAGAGGAAAATCCCGGAACAAAACGGGATACAGTGATGAAACTACACGGTTATTTGTTTCTTTTCCAATTTCCTCTTAGAAAGAAATGGAATGCACGCCGTCGCTGTGGCAAGATTATAAATCCCAGCGACGGAGAGGCATTGCGAAGATTAACTCTGAACTTGCAAACGGAAACACTCTAACGAGCGTCACAATAACCATTTGAAGTTGATCATCCTCAAAGAAAATAATTAGCAACAACGAGCACCGTGTCGCTGAGATTAATTCACCGAAGGAATTACAAAGAGGACAGCTGTCTCTCTGAGAATTATTATATTACAATAGTTTCCACGAAGAAGACAATCACAACGTAAAACAAGTCGTCTTTTTGGAAGTTGTTTTAACACGTCTTTGCGCGGAGGGAACCACTACTCGCAAGTAATTTCACGGGAGGGGGAAATTTCACCATCGCGTGAAACACATACGAAAGAAAAATCCAAAAGAGTTCGCGAGGGGAATAGCGCACCTTGGCAAAGAGGCAGAATTATATTTCTATTGTCGCAGCGGCGGGGAACGAGATTCGCGTCGGTCTATTTCGTGGCGCGTACGAAAATAAAAGATGTTGAAGCTTGTCGAAAGAATCGCGTAACTCAGTCAGCTCAGCTGAAAAGCTATTCCGTTGTACGCTCGATCAAAACGCTGTGCTGCGAGAAAGAAGACGTCGGCTGTCCGAAAAACACGTCGATCCCCTCAATCATACGGAAAACGTCCGGGAGCTATCGATTTGTCCTCGATCAAATACGCCGTTTATGTCGCGAATCCCCTTGAAAAATAACGAAAAGAACGTCTCTCCCATTGAACAATAATAGGAACGTCTCCTTTTTCTATTGAACATGTTACTCACAACCGTGACGAAGAGAATCTTCCTCGAGATAGATTCTTCGACGAATCCAGAAACGATATTTCATATTTTTATAATTGAAATGCCATATAAATGGCGATATCGTCGTAGTGATTCTGAAGTGAAATTTAAAGCTGATTATTCGAAAGGAAGACACATTTGTTTCCTTTTCAAATCGATGAAAGAAAATCTGTTGTATATTGTCGCTGTGGTAAGAAATCCTAGCAGCAGAAACGACAGAATTACAAATAAACGTCAACGAATGAATGTTTACGCATTTTTGGCAAATTGAAGATTTCGAGGGCATAAACGAACGTATGACGTGCAAGAATGACATGAAACATTCAAAGCGTGATAGCACGAACGGTGCCAATGATAATCATTGAAATGACCGATTTTCGAAACCAATCGCTAAACATAACGATAAACGCCGTGACACCGGCCAAATTCTAACGAGATTGCAAAGAAGCTCCTCTCTTCCGAAGCATCCCATAACACGTTGCTCGTGTTACTCGTTCTACTCCTCAACGTCAATCAAAAACAATAGATCTTTCTCCTAAAAAAATCTTCAACGCGTCAATGTCGCAGGCCTGATGGATTGCAAACGGATTAAACAAAATCGAAGACCGAAAGGAAGGAGAATCCGCAACTCACCCAAAGATGGTCCCATAACTCGCGGTGAAAACGGTATCAACCATTGCAGCCCGTCGCGGTTCTCCCGAACATAGCGTCGAGTACGTAGATACACTGAGAGATTCGTGTCTATCGGCGATATGTCTTGGCTGTTTCACCGTGGCATGATAAATTCACGCGATACACGACGACGACGACGACGACGACGACGGAAGTTGCTGGCACGTCGCACGGTCGTTGAATAATTCCTCTGTCTCTGCCGGTTGGCGGCGGTGCGTGTCGCGGCGCTGAAACCGGGCTAACAGGTAGCGGCCGACAAATGACAACTCTCGCGTCTCTTCCGTGCGAGAGCGCGGATTTCTCGAAATCGCGCGCGAGAACGAGCGACGACGAGCGAGGGTCGTCGCCGTTTGGCCGGGAACAGGCGACCACCCCGCTGTATATCTTCCCTTTGATGCCACGTGCTGGATTCAACGGGCGCCGGAGGAACACGGGCAGAGAGGAGCGGGCCGAGGAATAAAGATAGAGAGAGAAAAAGAGAGAGGGAGACCGATCGCGAGAACCACGTCGGCGCGAGGCATCGCGATGCCCGTGCCGACGCGCGCAACGCGCGCCTCCGTGTTTTGAAGTTTCCCCCCCGAGAGAGAAGAGCTACCCCCTCGGAGAATGTTTGATCGCGCACGCGGATCAAGGATCGACGACTCGACAAAGATTTCGTCCACAGTTCCTTTTTAACTTTTTAACAGTAGAATTTTATTCGCATATTCTTTTGGACTGTATCCACTTTCACGCGATAATTCATTTATTTAAACGCCAGAACCATTTGAATAAGTTTAAAACGGTTCATAGTCTTTGATAGAAATGATTTTTGGAGATTCGCGCGCAATTTTTCGTACATTGCGACTGTTCTTCATTCATATTCGTCGCATTTTTGTTTCTCTGATACAAGCTTTAAGTTATTGGTAGCTTTCGTATGTAATTTTTCACTTTCACTAAGAATAAATTAATAAAATTGTTCATTTTATACATAGATGCTAATTCTTCATTGACTTGTTTCTTTATAGAAAATATAAAAGTGTACACATATATGTTGCAGAAAAAAATTAAACAACAGCAGACGATCACAAAATTAAGATTAAGCTCAAAATGAGCTTAGAGTTATAGAAAGCTTTATCTCGGATTCGAAGCCGATGGAATATACTCGCGTTCGATTTCATTTGAATTAATTTTTTATTTGAAAGCAAATGTTTTTCATGCAAGGAGGGACCATATATATATTATTCGTCGAGTCGATCCCCAGTGTTCACTGAAAATTTATGAAATAGTTCTTATCTTACCATATTCACTCGGACGGGAAACCTTCCTTTGCATTATGCATGTACCACTTTTGGAAACATTTTCCCAAGCAAGTTTGCGGTAAACTCGATGGTACACTCTTGTGCAGAGAAGTCGATCGTTTTACATTTGACACAGGAAACACATTAATGGAGATGTATTTTAATTAAATATCATCGCTCGCACGTAAAGCAATGACAATATAGTATGATTTAATAAATTTTAAACGACAAATACATGTGCAACGGACCGTATTTATGACACGTGACTAAATTATAAATGAAGCAAAATCGATTCAAATAAAATCCATTCCAATGAAATTTACCGCTCTCGACAGAACATATAAATTAATAAGTTTCGCAGCATTCAAACATTGTATACTGTAGGTTTCTATTTTAAGTTCTTTTTTTTTATACGTTTCTTCGTAATCATTAATGGTGACAACCATTCCGAAATATGGTGACATTTTATGAAGAAAATATAGATAAAAATACGAGACGAACGAAATTGATTTATATTTCCTGGAAATTTTTTTGTTTCTTGTCCCTCGAACGAAAAACAAACTTTTTCTTTAAATGCTTCTCTAACATGTTCGAAAATCGTTCAAAAAATTAGGCGTGTCATTTCTATCAGAAGAATGTAATCAGTATAAAAATAAGTCTCTTGGTACTAGATTTACCAATAAAATGGTAAATTTAACTGAACTGAATAGTCTTTTTCTCTTTTTGTATGAAATCGTTGCAAAGGCATTCGTTCTTTGAAGGAAATATACATGTCTGAAATCTAGATTTCTGGATCAATAGAATCATCGCGATGAAATAAAGGACATCTTTTCGCTCCAGGAGATCGTTTAACGATTCGTTCGCCAAATTTGATAAGACGAATAGTTACAAGCATAGCTGGCCCAATTAATTCGGACAATAGTACCGCGGCACGATCGATCGATATCTAGCAGCGACAATAGACAAGTTTAAAATGTTCCGACTCTATTAAAGGCGTAACTCGATCGCGACGTAAACTTTGCCCGCGTCCCATTAACTAATTGTTTTCGCAACGTTATGGTTTCCCGCCGGGAGGAGAAGTTATGGAAATGAGCCTGAGCCATGCATCAGGTATCCTGGCAATTCGATTTTCTACGTCTTCGGATTCCACCGTTCTTGTTGTGCGCCAGCGACGCACAAGAAAGAACCGGAAGGGAGAATCTGCATTTCCAATGAAGACCTCCCGTCGACACTGCAATTCGGTATTGCGATTTCTGAGCAGAATGGATTATCCACTTCTTGCACGCTCGTCTTCCGCAAATTTACGAAGCGTTTGGCAAAGAAATTGGGATTTCGGCGGTGATAAGAAAACCGAGAATAATGATCGATGGACATTGAGAAATGTTAAAAGTGTTAGACGACTCGTTTCTTTGTTATAATTTCGCAAGACATCGGTCGTAGAAATTATTCAATCATGTTGGGGAATTTCTTAAACTTGGATGGAGGATGTAAGAAATTATTATTGATGTAATATTATGCGGAAACTCGTAATTTTATAATTTCTATAATCATTATTGTTCTAAAACAATAAAAATATGTTTGCCTGTAGAAACGAGAAAGAGTTAGAAAAATTCGAGGACTATAACGAGATTAGTCTCATATCTTAAGTGTAGAAAGTATTTAGCAATGATGAAAGATAAAAATTTATTGATTAAGAAAACACTGTTGCTAAAACGTGTTAAGAACTTGCAATTCCTCATGTAGCAATAAAATATGGATAGTATCCGTTTTTATTTAGAATTTAACATGAATCTAAAAATACATTAGGCCTCTGCTCGGAAGGAACATAAAATTTATAGTCACTACCGATTCACGCAACGTCAATAAACATTTGAAAATATTGTCGTTCAACGATTGAAAAAATATGTCTGCGGAAGCTATGTCACTTTGAATTGGTTGAGAAATCGTAAATGAAAGATTTAAACATTTATTTACTCTAATATCCTCTCTCTCTCTCTCTCTCTCTCTCTCTCTCTCTCTCTCTCTCTCTTAATATTGCAAACCATATTAAAAACGTGAAAACAGTTTTATAGGAAAATCAATATGATTGTCAGCTGTTTTAATTACACAGATTCTTTTGTTGTTCTCATTTACGTTCAGAAATGTTGTTTCATTTGAAAAAAGAGACATACACATTTTCGTGAATACTATGATTTGAAAGAGTTCGAACGAGTTTCAAATGACAAATGGAAAAGGAAATTATTTATAGTTTAACAAACGTAATCGTTTCAGTTTTTAAAACGTATCTAAAAAATCTTCCGAAAATAAAATGATATATAAAATAAAATGACATTTCCCTTTTCTAACTTTTGTTTTAATCTTATCACTTATCATTATATACATAGAAATAGTAAAATTTTATAATTTTTATTTCTCTTTAGCATTACTTGTTCCAAAATAAAAATCCGATAGAAAAAAATAACAAAAATGACACGTTTCACGAAAATCTAACTCGACAATTATTTTATAGTGAAAATAAATACCTGCTGTCTCCTTGTTTGATGCCGAAAGATATTCTCGATAAATTTTATCGAAAGTAATCTTCATCCAACGTAGCTAGTTAAGGAACTAGCGGTCGACAAAATTTTTTTACAATTTTACGAGATACGAAAGAAGTAATTTTTTATATTTTTTTACAATACAGCTACTCGCGCATAATTTCAAAAAATTTTAAATAGCAATATGAATGGTATGTGGTCAAAAGTTTCAAAGAATATTAATGCATGTCACGAAATTCCAATTTTCTGCAATCAATGTAATCAATGTGCACAAACATTATATATTATTTGCTTAATTATTCAATGGAGGCGCAAATCTGCAATTTAAATAATTAATCACCTTATTGTATAGTTGAAAATAAATCATTGTGCTCACTTGTCATTAATAATATTGTATGATATTAATTTTGAATAGAAATAGTAGTTATGACAAATATCGTTTAAGTGTCAATCTTATTTCTCTGACATTTTGTAATTAATTGTAATTTGGAGATTAATTTTCGTTTTTTAAAGGATTCTTTATTTTTTCTTTCTTTTCGAAAATATAAATTTTGACGAAATGAATTGAAATATAATGGAAATTTATGGTCGAAACCAATCAAGTTTTGTGATACGAAATATGCGATTTATGGCCAAATATTGTCAGAAAAATGTTTTTGTTAACCGGTGCTATTTGTTCGTGGAACAAAGTAATATTTCTTCAGATTTCAAGTAACATTGAAACTGGGTAGATGTTCCAAATGTTACGATATCGATTTTAATTCCTTTCTATCTCCAGAAATTGAATAAAAACTTTTGTGAAAATTTCTTGGTTTTTTTCGAAATATCAAAAAATAGAAATCAAGTCAATGCTTTCGAAATAGTTGATAAAAATCAGACGAGTAAAATTTAAACTCGGATTTCAGAAGGAGAATTTCCCCCTGGCTTAAACATTATCTACCGAAATGTATTTCATTAGAAATCCAACCCCATACGCGGATTCCAATCATTTTTATGAAAGACATTGTAGGGTAAATTTAGGTTGTATTTCAAGGTGGTCGTACGTGAGAGTAATAGTCGAATAATATCGGCGAGTGATAATTACACGATAGTAAGAGCGAATTGTTGTTTGCATGTACAAGTAGGCAGAAAGGAAAGAAGAGGGTAAGTAACGGCATAACAGAAAAAGATGCAACGACAACAGAGTTGTCGCCATTATTATTGTATGAATCAATATCACGACGGTGTCTTTGATGTGATGGTGGTTGAAGTGTATAACAATGTTTCGAATGTGGATCTTTATAGGTATTCTCATGGCGGACGCTTGCACTAGAAGTACGACACGCAGCCAGACAAACTTGAAAGCGATCTAAATTGCGCAGGCGTTTCTTTACTGCATCTTGGTCCCTGTGTGCTTTGTGATTATCTCTAAGCAGACCTAATAGCACATCCTTTCTTCCTTTTATTTGCTGTTAATGACAATGTCTCATTAATACCTTTGTTAGTCTCTACAACTCATAAAAGAAAAGAAAGAAGTGATATCAACCTTGCCAGGATGCAGGCAGCAAGAAACACAATATTCATAGATAGCGCAGCATCCTTGAGCGTTACACGTTTTACAACTATACCTCTCTCTTTTGGTTATAGTTGGTGTATCTTCATTTTTATTAGAATCTTTGTGTTCTTCCATGCTGCAGCAGCCATTTGACAAAATTTCTTGTCTAGAGCATACAATACCACGCTCATCTACTATTAGAACTTTGCCCTATCAGAATAATAAGTTGTAAAGTCACTTAATTCAACATGTTATTCTCATCTTCGAAACGTAATGTACCTGGATGGAATTACGACAAGAATGAACCACATCATCAGTGTCATTCAAATTCGGCATCACCTCCACGTTCAATGCATTCTCGTTTGCTCCTTGATCAACAATTGCCATCTGCCACAGTGGTGGTTTACCGGATGCTCTCAATTGTTCTGACAATGCATCATCATCGGAGATCAAGTCATCGTTATTGTCATTAATTATCATAGGATCCATGTCATCGAGATCATTATCCAAAGCTAACGTCTTTCGCTAGGAATTAGATAATATTCTGTTCTAAATTTCAAATTAAAATTCATACAGTTGGTCATGCAAATTTTTGGCACGTATACTTATATATTTGGCACACAATTTCTCGATGTTATTTACCTCGTTGCGGAAGAGTGAAAAGGCGCAGTAGGTAAGTGACAAAGCGAAGATGAGGCCAAGTACAAGGCGCCGTCTAATGATTCTGAACAGGCTGCCGCAACTCAGCATTCTTTCAACTTTTTCCAATTTATTCTCGTACCTTTGTTCAACATTAAATCTCCATTTTCCTATGCCAGCGCATGATCACAACTGACGGCAATAAAGTTATTTCATCAAATTATTTTTATTGACATGTTACGAGAGATGAGGAACGTCGATAGCACAAAAAATATCAAAGCATAGACTGATGTGCAAGTTTTTTATGTTTTAGTAGGACATAAAATAATGTGAGAAGTGTGTATACGTGAAAAAAAGAAAAAAAATGAAAGAGAGAGGGAAAGAAAAAAGAAAACGAGACATATCGAGAGATAGAGAGAGGTTATGTTGTTTTTGTTACAATCACATAGCAAACGTTTCATGAAACGCTTACCAATCTTCGAACGCAATTAATTTAATTGTTGTAACATAAACCTTTTTATTGCTCAATTGTACGATCAACAGGATAGACCGATATATTTCGTTCTAAAATTTATCGAGTTCTTGTCACCGAATGTCCAAACAGTGCATTAGCCTGCTCAATATGGTTGAATGGCAATAAGTTCATAGCGTATTGTGTTAGATGTCACTACTTAATCAGTTAACAATATGATATCGATATATGATATTATCGACTTGCTAAATTTCAAATGATTTCACTCACAGACTTTATAAAATAATCCTAATCTCTCATTATTAAAAATTTCGATTAAAGTTTAATTTTTAATAATTTACAATCATAAAATATTTTTATTTATTTTGGCAATTGTAATTGAAAACATTTGCAGTGTTTAAAACAATTGAACCTAGAAACATTTTCAATAGATCTACACAATCTTTATTAATGACATAAATAGAATTGATACACAAAATAAATTTAGAAATGATACATAAAATAAAAAACTAAAATACATAATATAACAAATATAAAATTCGGAAGAAAAAAACTATAATGAAATTTGGAATAATACAGTGGATAATATCGTTAGCAATTTTATGTACTATTCTCACCGTTATTATATATTTCATTGTTCAACTTGGAAAACGTGACCGTGCTATTGAACTGAGGGCCTAAAATCGAAACCTCTTGGTTTGAAATATCTTTTTAATTCATTTTTTCTTGTTTACGTATAATTAGTAATATACAAGATAATTATTTTTTTATCGTAAAGTTATAACCTATAATTAATATAATTCAATAGAAAGAAAAGATTTAATTTAAAAAAACAACTAATTCTTCGTCAATTTTTAAATTGTATTCAATAGTATCATCTATTTTTCAGGCATAATTTCGTAGCTACTATCAAGAGCTAATTAATTAATAATAACTTCCTTTAAGGGAGAGATTAATTTATAAAGATATTATTTCGGTAATATGCTTCAACTATTAAATTCACTATTATATCAATAATCATTTGTAATATTAGCATTATGTAAGAATTCAAATTACATAAGTAATAATATTATCAGTGATAATTAATTTGATACGATGCAAATAGTAAAAAAAATAGTAAAACAATAAGATTTATATTTTTTAAATGAGCTTTACAACTTTGAAATACGTATACAGGATGTAATTTCGAAATTTCAATTATTTATCTTGTTTTATTACCATTTCATTACAAATAAAAATGTTACAATTAATTCATTTAATTTACAAATTTCATAAAAACAATTCTGAAGAATTACATGTATGTGAATATCTTTTTTCATTGACAATGAATGTTTCCAGATACAGATAAAATTTGGGTATAAATCACAAAAACTAATTCTAGATGCTATTGAGTTTTTTACTTAATTATACGCTATATTATTCTTATGATTACATTTCTTAAATTTTTACGCAAACTTCTATTTATATCAACGATTTGATTTCGTTTCAGAATATAAATTTGCTAATATCATGTAAAAACTTTACCATAAGAACCATAAAGAAGATATTATAATAAAATGTACAGTGAGTACAGAGAGTATAATCTTCTTTTTTGATAAAAAATATAAGAACTCGAATATCATACAAATTTTAACAAATTATCAAAACTATCTATCCATCTCTTAAGACTATCTTTCATTATTGTTAAACATGGGGGTGAGAAATATATTATACATTTTTAAATTATGTTATATAATATTTTAAATTAAGTTTAAAACTTGTTAAATAAACATGACTGGTTTGTAACGTTTCATGAATTGTGATCAAGCTAAAGTTCAAGTGGTTGGGCTGCATCCCCACCAAGATAAAAGGACCTCAGGCTCTTTCCAAGCGTCAGTTTCCGTCAAGGTCTCGAAGGAAGTAGATATGTGTTAATTGACAATAGTATATCATAACAAATGACTGTGATATATCGGATGAAACATTATAAGTTAAACATCAAGATAAAACAGAGCAACTCTTAGTTGTGACTTAACTGCGCTGAAGAAAAAAAAAACCTAACGTACTTGATATAAATATTCGTTTCCATGGATACAGAGAAAAATTTTCCTAAGTGTTAAAGTGTGTAAAAGTTGAATTGTAGAAAAAGCCAGACGCGTGTTATGTAAGGTATTATTTTTTAATTAACAAATTAATTAAGTGTAAAATAGGAGATTTAAGAATATTATGTCAGGTATAATTTTTACACGAAATATAAAGCAAGAATATGAAATTTCGAAGAGATTTTTGATAATAACAGAAGAAGTCAAGACTTGCATTAAGGATAGATAAAAGTCAATGGCTGTTGTTAAAATGTGGATGAAGCGAGTAATTCTTACTTGTATGGAAAAATCGTAAAAATTACATTAGTAATCAGCGTATCTGAAGTTGTTACTTCTTTTGTTTAATGTATTTGTTCATTTATTGGTCAAAAGGCTGAAAACAGTATCAAAAAGTTGAAACAGTCGAATGTTATTATTATACAATTTCATTATATCATTATCATGAGTATCATATAAAAATATACGTTACAAGTTGAATTGTTAGTATGTTTTTGTTGGAGTTTCAAAACTTCAAATCAAATGTAACGTTAATTGATCTGCTGATATTTACGAAATATTTATTCTTGAACACACATATATACCTTTTCTAGTTTCTAAACTTTTGTTTATGTTCCGCCACACTTCTTATTAATAATATAATTTTTAGTGTGTAGTAATTTGGATTAAACAAGTAAATTATCACTTATCTTAATTTTTTTTTAAACTAAGATTCACTTTTAGGTTTATCTAATAAAAAAATAATTTCATTAGCAAGTTGTTTAAAAAATTTTCTGCTTATGTAGGATTACTTACATTAGAATAGAAATATATTTTATAAGTTTTTTATTTAATTAATATTTTTAAAATTTAACATTTGTCGTTAAACAATATTTTTTATTCTGTAAAAAAATATCAAACTATTTTATAATAATAATAATAATAGTAATAATAGTTCAAGAAAAATGACTATTGTAATTATTTTCATGGAACTTTATTATGCACGCGTTTCTAACTGAGGACTATTCGCACAACGTTTACCTCTGTTTAGGCTTGTGAATAACATTACGTCAAATTTTTCGGAACTGCTTATCGTTTAGGAGTAGTATATAGTAGTATATGATATTACTACTGATCAAGCATGATAGGATAATCTTGCACCAACGAAACTTGAGAGCGTTAAGAATCATGTGCGGATAAGACATTCTTGTAATTAATACGCACCATAATGGGAATGCCTAAATGCCATTATATAGTTTTGAAAAAGTATAAATCTCCTTTCGTATCTAATAGTTGAGAAGGTACAAGTTCTTTTACTTGTAACATGTGCAACAAGACACTATGATTAATGTAACCCATGTATATTAAATTAATTTTACAATTACGATGAAAACTTCTTTACTGATGCTTTCTGTTTGAAAGAACTATACCCGCACTTGCGATGTGGGATTAAAAAATTTCTTCTGCTTTGGCAAAATCGAAGACAGAAAAGATTTCTGTCACGTGAAATATCTTACCCGACTCTAGGAATTTTTTTTCAGAAAAATGCATCGTTACGAGTGGAAAAATACTAATTTTCCTTTGTTGTATGAAGCCTCTTAAAACCTCTTCAAGCTAAAACCGTCTCTTCAAACATTTCTTATCTAAGGGACAAAAAAGATCGTTATATACTGTTTGAAGAATACCGTTTTTTAGAAACTACGAATTTTCATACCATGCAGATGATAAACTCATGACTTATCCCACCATGAAGTTTTCTATTTTTGAGAGATCATGCTTCAAAGACAAAATGTCACGAAACTCCGCGTTTACTCTTCACTCTCTGCCTGCGAATTTAAATTTCCCTCGAATTTTATACGAATTATCGTCTTTTTATCGAATTTTTAACCATTACTCATGTTGAATTATAAATTATCATTTTAAATGTCTCATCGTCGGTATTGCCCACTGTGAAAAAAGAAACATCAGGCCTTGTTTGTAGTTCCAAAACAATAAGCAATAACAGACGATCATATATCAAACCATCTAACGCTTTAAAAACAATAGTTAGAAACACCTTTTTTTAGTAGGCTTTTTTTCAGCGGACGGGTCACAATCTTAAACTGTGAAAAGGTCAAATGTAAACATAAATATATAAAATGGAAAATAAGAAATTCTGATTCTCTTAGTACAAAAACGTTAAACTATTCGTTACAAACGGTTTAACTGAAGGTATATCAGCGAATTGAAGTACCGTGGATCACCGACGCTAGTAGTTAATTCTTTAGAGGTCACCGTATTTCAATTGTATGTGATCTATACTATATTTACACTTATTCGTTCATTTGCACGTAAGATAGTGAGGATTGTACATTTGAACCCTCGTAACACTAAAAATTATCTATTTGAGTATTCAACAAGAGTCAATGATCAATATTTTAGTCCAAATAAAGAATTTATCTTCGTCTCTTAAATATTTTTTAATGAGCCAGAGTTTACGAAGAATTATCGTCGAATATACTTTCTACAATTAAAAAAAAAACTGCCTAATAAAATCGTAATTAATTAATTCAACTTCTGAGTTTTCGTAACTGAACACGTGATATAGACAAGGAGATAACGTTGGATAATCCAATTCTTGTTGATATCGACTCTGTGCTTATACTGTGAGTCTGGATATTTCTCTTTGTAAGGGCAGAATTCAAGGAGAAAGTCCGCAACTCTAGTCTTATTAGTGCGGCTCTCGTCTCGCGAGTAACTACTGAATAAACTTGATTCCCAAATCAGGTTAGTGCTACATAAAATTCAAAGCTATTGTGATAAGTGTTTTTGGTAGATTTTTCTGTGTTGTTGGTGTTCGGTGCTGATATTCAAATCTAAGAAAATTTTTTAAATCATTCTTTCATCTGTCCCACCTTACAGTTGATAAAACAAAAATCCACTATGGTTTGACCAAACAAAGAACAGTTTTTGGGATAACTTTAGATACAAAAGTATTGAAAGATTAATTCATGAACTAAGATTTTATAAAATTTCGTAAACGTACATTCATAAATTTGATCCATCAAACATTGTCCTGAAAAACCTTGAAACGAACATCTGGTTTTTATTACCTTGAGTGTTAGGAAAACAAACGAAAGTACCTGAGGTGCCATAAATTAAGTTCTCCTCTATACTGCGTCATAAATTAGATCCTAGTCACTAGGACTTTCTACAATTTGAGTTTAGGTTGGGACACATATGCAGAACATCTTTTCCTTCGTGCAATTGTCAACGTAGTCGAACTTTCAAAGAATATCGTTCACGTGTTTTAGCTTTCTTAAATCAATATAACAAATTAGAGGACTGCCATAAGGTTATAAAAAGATTCTGCATATTGTCAATTATTTTTTTATTTTTTTAATAAAGATTAACAGTTATAATGGATATTTTAATTGAAAAATTTTTATTAAGTCACTCGCTGAAAAAATCCGTGTATCAAGTTTTTGTTACGCATAACAAGTAAAATCAGGCATATATATTCATTCTGGTTTTCATAGATTACAGTGTCCATGTCATATGCATGATAAACAGAATTGACATTGATTTTACGTGTTCTAGCATACTAATCGCATTGCATTTTTCAATGATCAACGAAAACCAGGATAAATAATAAAAGAATATCCTTTGCTTTATAACTGTATTTAGTTTTCATTCGTTGGCTTTAAATTTTATTACCAAAAAATTGTTGAATTAATGGAAAAACTCCATTAATTCAATTGCAAGTAATTGTAAGTTCCAGCTTGCTATATTATACGTTCCAATTTTGTTCGAACTATACGTTTGACTATCTTACTTTTCCTCGTAATATATAATACTTCATTATATTCGTGTTATCTACTGTGATAGAGATTTGGCCAAAGTTCACGATATATTTATACAGGAAAGCATGAAAGAAGGCTATTGGTGTAAAGTTGATAAAATTCTCATTCGATTAAGTTCATCGTAAGTGACGCAGTGTCCCTGTATAAATAGAGGAAGAGAGCTCAGAAGATTCAGTCTAGGTTATGCCTTCAAATGAGTATGTTAAATTTCATAGCAAAAGTGAGGAATTGTTGTCACGTTGCCATCGAATTTTGCCTTACAATAGTTCTATCGATACCTTTTCTACAAATAAAAAGCGCATATGTGTGCTAATATCTCAAAGGACTTAAAGCAAAGAGAGATTACTTTAAAAAGTGTTACATAGCTGATGTTCTAGCTTCATGAAGAACTGAAACATAAATCACCAGTTCAATAGATTCTTAATATCAAAATTATTGACAATTTACAAAAAGAAAAAAGAATGATTTTACAATTTTATGCGCGCAATAAAATGCAATAAAAGACATATCAGTGTGAATCTGATAAATTTACAAGTGAAACGAAGAACTAAAGGGAGATTATTGTTTGCAGAAAGAAAAGATCCTGATTTAATTTGACCCTGTCATGAACGAAATAATATCTCGCTACAACTACATACATGTCGGTTGTGCAATACCACCGACGAGTGCAACATCTCCATTCATAACACCGTTATTATAATTTCGTTAGTGTATCCTTTATTAGGATCAATGGAAAATATGCAAAAATATTGTGGCATCAGTACTACGCAAAATGTCCCCTCCGTTGAGAGACAAAACACTACTACGATGCGAGATAGAGCGAAATTGTGAAGTGAGATCGTCAGTGGAATTGTAGTGTTACGAAGCGAGACATCTCGCTGATGGCATTGCAGTATATAAATCATTGCATGATGTCCTAATGAAAAGGTCACGTCTCTGACTCAAATCATTTACCTCCTAATGACATCGTTTATCAAATTATGTGATGTCTTCACGATCAGATATGTGCTTCGAAGTTCAAGAATACATGTGTTTAAAAAGATGCGTTTTTCATTCTTACAGAACATTCGAATGTAAACTGTGATTTACATTTCGATTATACAGTTGCCGATCAAAATTTCATTTAGATAAAATCAATTGCCGTCGTTTATCGAATGTTACATGTAGTCTTTCCACGACTACATGTTCCAAACAAAACAAAACAAAAGAAAAATTGCTATACCACGTAAAATCAAATATGGTGTCCACAAAATCAGTTCGATATTTCTTTTAAATTAACTTTCCATTGACTTTTCGTCCGAAACAATGTAAACACATTCTATTTCATCTGTTGTCGTTTCTATCCTGCTAGAAACATTTAATATACAAGGAAGCAACAGAGAACGTGTATCGCTGCGACGATGTTGGAAAGTACGCAAACGGGATCCGTTGAGGCGGTGAACTTCGACAACCTCGTGTTGAAACAGTGGCTTCGCTACATCGGACCAATTCACCGTTGCGAAGTGCTGAAAAAGGTGCGAATCATATTCATGATCGATCGTCTTTCGGCATACTAAACAAAAATTTTACACGCTGTTCGAAAATTTCATTATATCATACGTACATATATCTAGGAGTTTACCTACAATGTCATTCGACTTAAACAAACGAACGAACGTAAACATCCGCATTGAACAGAAATGCTCGTCTTTTATTTCTCTTCGATTTTTTACATGTTTGGAAATAGAATTGCGCTGATAATGTTACGGGGATATAACCACAAAACACGATGGCTATTGTTTCAGCTGAAAGCGGACTTGCAAAATCTGGGATTATCGCAAAGACAAGTTCATCGAGGTTTGATACAATTAGCGACAAAACCGTGTGTGGTCCTCATGCGGCAGATATCTTACAGAAAACATAGGTAAGTTTGTAATCATTGAATTTAGGAGAAGTCTACGTTTCCCGATATCCAGTTCTGTATTATGAAATAAATTATATTCTATATACGTATGATTAAAAAAGAGAAAAATCTCAAGTGCCGCCATTTATTTATATGATTTTAATTGGCCCAAAAAACAACGCACGCGTAACATTGTATTAAAATGCAATTATTGTTAATGTTTGCTCGAAGTATTTTTCTATAATATAAATATGTAAATATTATCATTGCACTGCAACCCAATTACTACGGTTCACTTAACTGAATTTTCAAAACCGTTCATTTCTGTGAAAAATGATCATCATTTTTATTTCTATTGACCTAAAATACAAATTTAGGAAAAAGATTTTTCAGCCCGGAGACTATAAGAATATATCCGATATTTGTGATATTAGCTGATCGTAAATATGCAAATTATATCTTTGTTTTCTTTCTTTAAATTATTTACTTCATGACAAAATACAAACACGATTATTAACACTCACATTTTTTTTTATTAAACAATGTCTTACCTGATTCACCAAAACGTTTAATGATATTAGCTGAAATGAAAAAAGACAAATACTTTTCGAAATTTAATCGATGAACTGATCATTTGCTCTCGGTATAATGATATTTTTTATTAAACATTAAAATAAACTTTTTCTTCATTCAAAATATCAATCGTTTAATGCAAAAGTGGTGTAAGTAAAAAAAAGTTAATTTCTGAATAATGAGGTATAAAAATATAAAAGTTCTATAAAATTGTAATAATGTCAAAGAACGTTACATCTTTTTTATGTGAATCATTGTGAAGTTGTATTTTTTATACAATTGAAGTCGTACAATTTTTACATAAAATAGTACAAAGTTTAAAATTTCGAAATATAGTGGTACATGACTTACACCACTTTTATATTTCGTATCACAAATCAAGATCTTACTTCCGGTAAAAGAAATGTGCACGGCAATCATATTTTCTAATTTTACGAACATACACAATGTTATCATATTTTTAGAAAACATTTTCTCATGCTGTTAAGTAGAAACGAATTTTTAAATATCTCTTTTCTGATATTTTAGACTAAAGGGTCTGTTAGAAGATGAAGAGGAAAGGAAGATCCTTCATAATTCCAGAACAAACGCCTCAAATTTGCGATTGGGAAGTGAAAATGTACATAAAATAAACACGACAGAAAGATACGGCAAAAGAGGGAACGAATATATTAGAGAAACTGATGGAATTGTAGCATATAAAGAAGATGCATCGATAAGCAACAATCGAAACAAACGTTGTAAATTAGACGATCGAGTAGCAACAATGCATTCCTTTGACGAAGCTTTGGAACAGTTAGATAAAATTGTTCCTTCAAAAATGAACATACATGAAAAATTATCCAATAGATCTTCCAGTGTCCCGATGAATGGCATTGTTAAATCACAATATAACAACATAGTTTTAAATAAAACATATGACAAAGATGAAAATCATATTGAAAATAAAGATAAACACAGAAGAACACAGAAAACTTCTAATACTCAAAAAATTTCTGATTTAATATTTGACAAGGTACGTCCAAACAAAGTACAAATAAATGAAAATAAAAGAAATCACACAAAATTAAATCAATATTCTTGTTCTAACAAAATAAATGATTATATAACATCAAATGTTTATAAAAAGATAGATACTAAGTACAGAAAATTGGATGTTGATAAAAAATTGCATAACACGAAAAGTGTAGATATCAACGTGAATTCTATACCAAATAAAAATAAATACTTTAAATATGAAAACAGTATATCGAATTGTACCCTCAGTACTGGGAAAGTAGTAAAAATCAAAGAAAAGATGCAGGAAAAAAAATTGTACAAATCAATAACTTCAGATTTTATTAGAAAGAAAAATACTTATGCACACACTAACGAGAATAAAGAAATAATTAGGAAAAAGATAATAAAAAAGTTTCGAACATATTTCGGTGATTGTTTAAGTGTCAGCGAAGATGAAGAAGAACAAAATATTTTACGGAAAAGATTTAAAATAAGAAAAAAAAAGGATTCTGTTAATTCTTGCGATTCTGGAGTATATGTTACTGAAAAAAGTACAACTATGACTGATACAAAAGTTCTAGACGATATTCAGGAAACTATAACACCTGACTCAATAACGCAAAAATTTAATGAAAATACATCTCAGGAAACTATTCATATAATTCATGAATTAAATGAAGTTATCACTAATACAAACATTGAAACTAACCAAGTTAAAAATGCAATAAATTCTAAAGAAATTGAAAATAATAAATTACAAAATAGCACAGATGAAAATAAAATATACAGTATTGAAACAAGGAAAGACGAATTATCTCAAGATATGTTGATTAATATTTCTGAGAAGGACAATCTTCAACCAGGTAAAGATATAGTAAATGTTAAAGATATACTTCAAGTAACAGAACAATCAGAAGATAAAATCTCAGAAAATAAATTATCTCAAGATATGTTGAGTAATATTTCTGAGAAGGACAATCTTGAACAAGGTAAAGGTATAGTAAATGTTAAAGATATACTTCAAGTAACAGAACAATCAGAAGATAAAGTCTCAGAAAATGAATTATCTCAAGATATGTTGATTAATATTTCTGAGGACAATCTTGAACAAGATAAAGATATAGTAAATGTTACAGACACATTTCAAATAACAGAAAAATCAAAAGATAAAGTCTCAAAAAATGAATTATCTCAAGATATGTTCATTAATATCTCTGAAAAGGACAATCTTGAACAAAGTAAAAATGTAATAAATGTCGCAGATATATCTCAGGTAACAGAGCAATCAGAAGATAGAGTCTCTATAGCAGAAATGAAAACAAAAATAAAGATAAATAATGTATCTTCTGATATTTCAGAAATTTGTATCTTAAACCATAATGCTATAAGTGAAAATTTTTCAGAATTTGAAACATGTGATTTAAATATAAAAGATTTTAATGAACTTCTTCATATGAATTTTGAAGAAAATTGTCAGATCACATCAAATGGAAATGTCCTTAGTATTCAAGAAACTGTTGAAAAAATTATAGACAAAAATGGTAATGAAAATTTAAATTTGAAAGAATTATTAAACGTACAAGAAAATTGTAATCAAACTATCACAGAAAAATTATTAAACTGCATCGAAAAAAATAACAATATAGATTTAAACAAAATACAATCATCTTTTAATACAAATAAAAATGATAATATTTCTACAAATAACACATATAATGTGCTAAATAATGAAAGTAAATTAGCAATGGAAAAACCTAAATTGAATATTTCAGATAGGAAAGATACTCAATTTAATGAAGTATTTAGAGGTAAATTAAGAGTCTTATCTAGTGCAGAACTAGGATCCAGATGGTGTCCTACACCCGTAAATAGTGTTCCATCTACTGTTCCTCAATCTTTAGTATCTCAAACAGTATCTAATACGACATCTCTAATTACTGCATCTGCATTTACAACAGTTTCTGAGAATATGAAAAAAAGTAATACAGATTTAAAATTTTTAGAATCTGTGTATGTTAGTTGTGTGAAGATAAGTAATTTGATTAAAAATATACGGCTATCTTCAGTTACTAATTTAAATTATAATACATTATTATTTATAGAATTCGAAAATTTAAGAAAAATATTGAATACTGAAAATTATGTTGATCTAATAGAAGGAGTTGTAGCTGTACTTAACAAGGAAATGTCAATAACTCCATTATTATCTGTAGAAGAATTATTTCGTTACACATCATTAGTCGAGTCTTATTATGCTTTTTCTTTAAATAAACATAAAATTAATGTAAATGAATATCAAACCATAACACCGACCAGCACTGTAGTTGTTTCAACTGAAATAGTACCAAATCAAGACAAGCATTGTAATGCACAGAATATATGGGCTTCTTCTGTGCAATCTAGGTTACAATATTTACTTTCTACTCAAAAAAATCAATTATGTACAAACATTACTACAAAACCAACTCATCAAAATATTAATGAGAAAATAGTTTCATCTTCACAAAATAATGTTTCTCAAAGCAATGTAGCAGTGAATCCTATTATTTTTACTAATAATAACAATAACAACAATAATGACAAGATGGAGCAATATAACTACAAGATGCAAACATATAGAAATTATTGTCAACAAAAAATTTCAAATGTTCATATTGATAAGCAGAAACCAATAACAAACATGCATGTTAGACAAAACTTTCCTGTGCAATATTCATTTAATGAAATTAATCAACTAGAAAGTGGACAGATTTCTGCACGAGTCAGAAATACACCATCTGTGAACCAACAATATATTCAACCAACTTGTTTTGTACCAACAAATACATTTCACAATGTAAATGTACAAAATTATTCCATACAAAATAGGGATGTAACATGTGTAACTATGCAAAATCTAACTATACCTACCATGACTCAGCCTATAATTCAAAATACAGTATATCAACAACCAGTTTTACAACCTGTACCAAACTGTAATATATCACAACCTGTACCATCAAGCTGTCATATACCACAACCTGTACTATCAAACTGTCACATACCACAACCTGTACTATCAAACTGTCACATACCACAATCTATACAACAAACTATAGTGACAATGAATGTACCACATTCTGTATTAAAAAATACACAACCCCAACAACAAAGGGCAAAAGAAAGATTATCACAAAATTATATGCCTGAACAATCACAGAACATTTACCTACATAAATTCAAACAATTAAAGAAGAAAGAAAATTTGCAAGTTTCATTAAACTCAACAATGAGATTCAATGCATTGAAATATATTTCTGATATCCAAAAACATACACTACTTAAACAACTAAACTTCTATTTTAGTTGCACCACACATTTAAAACAAGTGTATACATCAAAACAATGGCAACAAATTCATTCAGAAAAATTTCTATTATTTCATTTGCAGACTGCTTTAAAACGTGCGATACAAAAGAATGTTCTTTTGTCAGATAATCTGAAACAATATTCAGATAAATCTGAAACAAATATACTGGCAAACATTAACACTAATGTTCCAAAAATGATACAAATTATAGCAAAGGAAAATCAAAAAACTTGGTATCAAGTTGAAGCATCTAAAACTAATCAAGAACAGAATAAAACAGTAAATATTAAACAAAATTGCCCAAATGATCAAGAAAATTTAAATGTTAAAACGCAAAACCAATATGAAAAAGAACATAAGACAAATAATAATTCACAAAAGCTTTCATATTTGGAACAAAAGTTAAATATGTTAGATAAGAAAAAGATACAAAACAATACATTACTTAAGGATATTTTGTTACAGACAGATAATTCCCTGATTAAATTAAATGCACAGAATTATCAAACGTCAGATAGCATTGATGTATGTCGCAAGATAGAAACAGAAAAGGAACAAAATATTTCTAAAGATATATACAATTCAAACATCAAAGAACAGAATTTGTTGCACAAAAATGAATTGAAAAAAATAATTGAAAATATTCCACAAACAGTTAATGAAAAGTTATTGCTAGTATCAGATATGAAACTATCTAATAAAGACACTCTACAGCAGTTAAATCCACATTTAATTACTGTAGAAATTTCTTCTGCAAATGATCAAGTAACTGTTATTGATACTGTTGGTGGAGAAACTAAATCAAAGAATGAGGAACCTAAAGAATGTCAAGAACATCAACAAGAGAAACTTCATATTAACAGTACATTATCATCCTTAGAAAATACTAGTTGTGATATATCAAGACCATCTTCATCTAAATCTCCAAAGAATGACATTAAATACCTTAATAATGATGAACAGTTACAGAATACTTTAGTAGAGAAACCTATTATATCTCATATTGAAGATGTTAGAAGCATATCAATGGAAGCATTTTTAAAAATGGATGGATCTAATAATGGTCTTTCAAATACTACAGAAGGAAATATTGAAGAGGAAGAAATGAAAGTATGCTTATTTTGTGGTAAACCAAGTACTGTAGCATGTTCAATTTGTTTAGAAGCTAAATATTGTTCTAAACTATGTTTTGAACTACATTGGAAAGATCATTATAAAGATTGTTTACTTGCAAAAAGAAATGTATGTTCATAACTAAAGTTTACTATTATTTGCTTTATTATTTTATTCATTTTCGCCAATTAAAAGTACTTCAATTATGACTCTGTTATGTTAAACAGTATTTATCATTGATTATTAATATATTTTTATATTATAGTATACAAATATTTATATTTATATTTTTTGTTAAATAATATTATTATTACTTTAGCAAGAAAAGTATGAAAAAAAATGTATTGTATTTAAATGTAAAAAAATAAATTTACCAAATACCTGAATTTTTACTACATAGTTGAAAATATAAAACATTGACTAAAATATTCTATTTATTTATTTTATTGCGTCTCGAGCAATATAAATTAAACATTAATGCAAACTACATACATATGTATATATATATATATGTATTTATAGATTTTATTCAACAGGCTCTTCATAGCCAACATCAGGTATATAATTTCTTTTAGGATTATGAAGAAGTGAATGTTTACCATCTGCCCATGGAAAACCCTGTATAAAAAATAATTATATTACATTATATTATACTATGTTATATATATATTGATTTCTTTTTCTTATTTTAAATCTTACCTTAGTCATTACTTTCATATATGGATAGTGAACAAATTCTGGAGGTTTTTCATGATGTCCTTCTTGCTCTTTAAGATAACTATTAACCATTGAAATTATCCATAACGGAACACACACAAAATAGGTGACATACTTAAATGATTTAATAGTACCTAAAATCATATGAAACCTCAAGATATAATTATGTAACATGTACTTCTAATCTTTAATAGAATCATTTTCATATGACTGCTAATTTCATGTGAAAGATATAGATAAATTATCGTTCGAAATTTGCACTAAAATAAGCTTTGAAACGAAACAAAAAATTTCGAAAATATATAAAAATTGGAAATATACAGAATTCTTCGTTTCTGCGTTAGTTAATTTTCTACGTTAAAAACTATTAAAATGTTCCACAATTTACCTTCTGCAGCAGGATGTACTTGTTGGTCCACTGTTTTTACATATTCTGATACATTTCGCGTAAAAGTATGTTTAAATTGTCTTACTTTCAACAACTTCGACATCTTTCTATCAATACAGCTATGGCCATAGAACTGATACTGATATTGATTTTATTCACCCATGTTTATATAACTAGACATACATTGTATTCTCGATTACGTCAACCTTTTACAGATGTCGCTCGTGTCTTTAAGATTATCTTTTCAAACTACAATACTCAATTTCCGGAATAAAAAACATTTGGTGAGAAATCTGGACGATGACTGTAATATGTCTATATAATAATTGACGAAAATTGGAGAAAATTAAAAGAAGTATCAGCAGTACGTATTAACAGATTTATTACTTTTTATTATACATTCTTGAAATAAATATATATTATAAATATACATACATATATTACATATTGTACATATTACATCGAAATTCAAAATTAAAAGAAATTAGGGCTTATACGAATAGTTTGTAAATGTCAGTTAACAAGGATATTGTATAATTTATGTTGTTAATTATATAAGTTAATTATAAGATGTATTAAAAATCGGTTTATTAAATTATTATATTTCGCTGAATAATAATTACGGGTTCTATGTAATTATACTTCTATTTGGACTGTGTACTTTGTATTGTACACGATAAAATTCAGAAATTAATACGATATAGAGAAATTGTAGCATTTGTCTACGCAAGTCTATCACATCAATCCGATATAATAGTAAAACTTGTGGGAATTGTTCACGTCTAATTAATTCATGTCTAAAAATATGTATGACATTTATTGTGTATACTCCTATGTTCACAAATAATTTTAATTTAAATTTTGGAGATAGTTTATAAGAAATTAAAGACTATTCGAACGAGTGTTTCAATCTATTGAACTAAATTTATAAACTTTTATACGTACATTTCATAGGTTAAACAAAACATCCAAGAAAAGATAAAGATCTAATTTGGACAATATAATCGCCAAAATTCTCAAATTGATCTCTTTAATTTGCTTTTTTTTTGCAAATGAAAATTTTATCACTTTAGGAACCCTAACATACTAGCGCCACGAAGCGGTTAAACGCTGGAACTAAAATTTATTCCTGTCCTCGTACATTATTACATTATTTGTTTATGCACAAGTGCTCGCCTATTGGATTTTTTTTGTGTCAAGCAAATGTTCATTTGCAAAAAATGCTAATAAAGATTAATTTATGAATTTTAACAGTTGCAGCTTCGTTTTAAGAGAATAAGCTTTCTTTTCATGTTTCAATTGACCTAGAAAGTGCACGAACAAAAATTTAATAGATCGAAACATTTTGTTGGTTAAATAAAGAGAACAATATTTTGAGACTGAGATGCAATGCGACAGACAAAGATCGCATTAATGTGCGATAAGGACGAATATAAATATATATCGCTATCTAAGCACTTTTCAATTTCGACTGAAATTAAAAAATGTAAAATGGAAAAATCTAATAGATGGTAGCATCTGTCTTATTCATAACACCGATGAGGTTTATGAATAGACCTATCACCTTACGGGGTTTCGTAGCCGGGGATCTGAAATACCGACATAGTAATAAATCACTGGTTTTTTAGCGCATTCTACATTTAAAGAACGATGAATTGAACGGGGAATTAGTAAAACATCAAGTAAAACGATCGATGTTGGTGCAAAGAATATGATTTTTTAAACCCATTACCACAGACGAGGCATGAATAGACCTTGCATATGTAATTTTTCGGCCCACGATGGGGGGGGGGGGTCTCAGTACCCTTTTACCATTTTCGAGTCACATCCTGTCGTATCGATTCAGACAAGTTTTGCACTGCAGTGATGAAAATTAAAATTAAAAAATATGGACAGTATTGCCATATCAATCATGGAATTATCATTCTAATCAATTAATGTATCATAAAAATAACAAATATTATTGTTGCTAGAATTTTATAGATAATAAATAATTTAAAATTTTTTGAAGTATTAAAAAGACCAAGAGAATGTTTAAAATTGGTTCTACATAATCTATGTATTATCTAATTTTCAGTCACGTGATACTTCTGCCATATTTTAATTTCTAATAATTTGAATCGTGCATCGGTCCTGAACAGAATGATAACTTTTTTTCGTTCTAATTTATTGTCACGGTACGTTTTAATATATTCAAATACTATTATATAATATTACGAACAAATATATTAAAATTATATTTTAGGAAATTTAGATAAATAAATATAAATTTCCTTGATATAAGTGATTGAAATTTGCACAATCCTATAAAATTTCTTCCAAAATGATTAATATATATTTTAATAATTCAGTATAATTAATTAATAAATAAGCTATTAATATTTAGACCTGTTTTATTAAATTATTATCTTAATAATAATTTGTTTGTGGAAATTATTAATTTTTTATATGTGAAATACATGCATATATGTACGTATATGTATTACGCGCATATACATACATCTATAATCATTTTTATAACGTTTTTATAATAAAATTCTATTCTATTTTTAATTATAAAATTAATTATACTGATATGATTAAATATCAAATTTATTTTATTCTGAAAGATAAATATGCATATGATGCGTTTTATAAGTCATTTAACAGAAATAAATGAACGTGACTGAAATGATTATTTATTATGCTTATTCAATGAATAAAGCGAAATGTTGAATAAAAATTAATGTTTTTCAGCTCGAATGGGTAATTCTACCTCAAAAAATAATTATCACAATAATCAAAAGTATACTAGTCAGGTATATATTATTTAAAAGTATAAATAAAATATAGGTTATAAATTATAACCTACATAGTTTAAATAGTGTTGCTAAACGTTTTTAACAACATTTGTTTACACATAATTGTATTTTGAGCGATAATGATTAATAAGTATTATCATATCTTTTTAATAGTACAGCCTTAGTGATATAATTGGTGGAAGTTGCATCGGATCAACACAATCTTCGCAGAAAGAAACTAAATCATGGTCCCGTGCTTCTTGCAGAAGGTAATTTTAATATTTTATAATCTCTACATTGGTAGTCTCTATGTAACAAGTGTTTGATTTTGTAGCTGGAGCGAAGGTATATTATATGATCCACTGGGTACTTCAAAAACATTATGGCCTGTATCACGTTCTCAGGCTATGTTTCTTCCAGAATTTCAAATAAGACAAGTATCTTTGCAAAATTCTTATACATTTTTGAGTGTAATAGCCAAAGGAGCTTATGGAAAAGTATATAAAATTCAAAAACAAGATACTGGACAACTATTTGCTTTAAAAGTAATCAGTAAAGCTAAAGTGGTCACAGAAAATGGTATAATGCAAGCTAAACAGGAAGTATGTATATTTTAAAAATTGTATATATGTTTAGATGGCACGTTTACTTTTGTTTTGTTTAGTAATTGGATTCGTATATGTATTCAACATTAGGTATCCATACAAAAATTAGTTGGTCATCATCCATTTATACTGGATTGTTGTCACAGGTGGCAAGGAAGAAAAACATTGTATATATGTAAGCTTGCTGTTATTATTAATCGTTGTTAAATATAGTTTTTAATGTTCATTAATTTCAGTAACTGACTATATTGGTGGAGGAGAGTTATTTTCATTAATTGAGCAATGTGGTTTTCTGCCTGAAAATATAGTTAGAATATATGTAGCAGAAGTTGCTTTAGCTATTGGTAAATATACATAATTTTGAATTAATAATTGAATATGATACAGAATTTAGAATTTATATTTTTGGTTATCTTGGTTGAAGATTTTTTGCACAATGCTGGTGTTGTACACAGAGATATAAAAGCAACAAATGTTTTATTGGATGAGGAAGGTCATGCTGTAATTATTGACTTTGGTCTTGCAAAATGGTTAAATCATGCAGAAAGAACAAATACGCTTTGTGGAACACCAGAATATATGGGTAAGTATTAAAATCTATATGACTATAAAAATTATATTAATTATAATTGTTTTTTATTTGATTTATTTTGTTATAGCGCCAGAAATATTCAACAGAAAGTATTATGGACAGGAGGTAGATTGGTGGTCCTTGGGAGTACTAGCCTGTTTTATGCTTACGAATCAGGTATGAATGACACACAGACATATATATATGTATATATATATTTTTTTCTATTAAAAAAAGTTTAAATATTGCATGGAACATATTATTAACTTATTGGAATTATAATTATTTGAATAAAAGGAGTAAAAGATAAAATATGAAGGATAGTGCAAAAAATGTTTTTTTAAACATAATTTAATTTATTTATTAAAATTAAAAGAATAGTTATTAATACATCATATATATTTTATTGTTTAAAAATATTAGTATCTGTCCTTTATAACTACTTTAGAAAACGGTCCAATCAGTTGACTCCGTGGCGCAACGGTAGCGCGTCTGACTCCAGATCAGAAGGTTGCGTGTTCAAATCACGTCGGGGTCAAAAATTAATTTTTACAATTTTTTTTAATGTTTTATACGCAGAATATGAAATAAATTTTATCAATTCATGTTTAATTGAATAAAAATAATATTTATTGTTAACTTCACTATTTTATGCAGTGTATTACAAAAAATTAATTGGTATACATTCTTTACTTCATATTCTAACATAAAATGTTTTTATGTGAAAAAATAGAATTTAAAATAGAGTTTAAAAATAGAATTTTATATTTTATGTAAAAGAATATTCTATTTTTATTTTTGTTTAAGTTTAAAACTGGTTCAGAAGACAAAGTATAAGCATCGTTCAGTGTTTACACTCTCTTTTTCTTTCATCCAAACGTTTAATAGTAATAAGTGATTAATCTTGCTAATGATAATAGGCATAAAAAAATAGATTATTATTTAGAATGAAAAAAAAAAAATAAAAAGAAAATCGCCCCCGGGTGGGCTCGAACCACCAACCTTTCGGTTAACAGCCGAACGCGCTAGCCGATTGCGCCACGGAGGCAATTGATTGAACAGATCTTTTTAACTCTTTTCTCGTTGTTTTCCATTTCACGAATTTTGTTATATATCTAATTTTGTTATATATCTTTATTTTGTAAATCTTATTAGTTTAAATACTTTTTCTACTTTAATGATATATTATGTAAAATTATTTTTAATTTATCACATATTGTAGGATGTATTCCATGTAACAAGTTTTATCGCGGTTCATAAAAAAATGCCATTCAATATTTCTCAAATATTATCATATATTTATACTTATCGTAAAACATTAATACATTTTATTTTTATTTTTATTTGTTTCTTTAATTTGGATACTGTGCTATATATTTAAAATGATTTATTTAGAAATAATTGATGAATGAGGTGATGAAAATTCATTTACATTCTCTAATATTTTATTTCTCATATTTTTACACATCAAATGCATTTCTGCGTCTCTACATTTCCAATAAACGCATAAAAATTCGCTATTGCTACATCCAAAATGTTACACGTCTCTCATTGTACTAGGGAACACCTAGATCTAAAGAAACGTTCCAAGTGGAGATACAATTATTTTCTCGTGAACCGTGTCTCGTATACTTTTCGTCGGTCGTTCTTGCGTAAAAGTATGCAACAGAGACGAATTGAAGAAAGCCAACGAGCGTATCTCTCTGGATCGTTGCAAAATCCCTTGTGCCTTGACATTTTCGCCGGGTCCACTCACCTGGCGTATCCTCACTGTTTACAAAGCGTATGTTCTCGGCCGTGTTAACTTTTCATACGGCCTTTTGATGAATCGACGTATCGTGTCATGGAGAAATGTCGTCGTGACTCGATCACGATATTCATTCGCCAACCATGAGATTCACGTGAATCTTCGATTCTTGTGCAAGTGTATTCTCGATAGACACAGTGACTCACAATTTTTTCAACAACTTGGAGAGATAATAAGCAGACACCTTTGGGTTATTTTAGCAAACTAACCAAAAAGCAATTAAAAAGCAGATACTGTTTCAAACATGCTGTAAATTCAACTAATATTCGTGTTAATAAGCTTTTATTTCGGGCTACTTTCTTTTTGCACCAAATAATTTTTAATTAAAATGTATATAACGCAAGGAATTTATAATGAAATAAGATAATATATAGGATAATCTATAGGATAATATATTACCTTCTTCTTGCTGTAGTACATAAATTACACATGTTTTAGAGGACCATGTTTTATCAATGATTTGATTTAACATTTCCTAATTGTTTTCTTATTTGATTTGAGATTTCAAATTAATTTGGATATGATTTTATTTGAATTTGGAAAGTACTAGCGATTTACTCTTAGCTAGTGTGAATGGAAGTTTATTTTTCAGAATAATACGTCGATTTCAGTAGGCGTCTTTGTATACGAGCGTGATTACTTGAGTCATCGAGTATGTTGCAACAGCAACTCGGTGGATAACTTCTCGGTTTCAAGTCAGGATGTCGGGCAATTGAAATATTTATATGAACGATATCACAACGCGTAATTATCCTTCTAAACACATCTATGATCGCGTGCTCGAAAGTGGAAGTTTCTGGAGTCGTGAATTTTTAAACTTGCCTTATCGATGATGATACGATCAAATACAATTGCCATACGATGACGCGATTCAACTGGAATTGAATGGAATTGAACATTCTCCTTCCAAATGTAAGCTCTGATTCATTTGAATTCCTTCGTTCTTCAATCTCGTACTTGTAAGTGCGAAGGAAACAATTGACATTCTTAAACCGAAGGAGATGGGAATATTGCGAAGAACACGTTGTCCACAGTAATAATAATAATTATTATTATAACGATGATAGCAATAATACAAATAATAATATTAATAATAATAGCGGTACTGGTACTAAATCGTAATAATAATAATAATATTAATAATAATAATGACACGTATCTCTAAAAAAAAAAAAAAAAAGAAGACAGAGTCGAGCTACATACTAGTTTTTATTGGGATGAGGTTGTGGTTGTGGTTCGTGTGTGGTTTTTCTTTTTTTTTTTCTTTTTTTTTCTTTGAGAGGGGGAAAAAATAAAGAGAAAAAGTCTTGGGGAGAAGGGAAAGGGAAATTTGGGACGAGGATACTAAAATATTAGGGGCCGTGTTTCGTCCCCGCGGACAAATCGCGGTGTCCGCCGGGACGAAGAAGAGGATGATCCCTGGCGTGTGTGCCAAGTCAGATCCCAAAGGGTGGCCACGTGCTCCTGATCGCTGTTTTCTCCTATATTTGCTTCTTCTTCGAGCATTTTCATCATCATCGTCATCATCGTCATCACCATCATCGTTGTTTTCACGGATGTTGTTTCGACGTGTTCTCCTTCTAAGTTAAAGATCCTTCACAGCCAGGTGGCCACGTGGTCATCCTGCCCCGAGTCGATGAATTTTCCTTCTCTCGGAATCGTAGCGCGCCGGGGGGAAGTTCTGAACCCTGCCACAAAATTGGAATCGCAATCTCTCTCTCCCATTCACACCGATATACACTCTCACTCCGTCTTGTTCTCTCTCTCCCGCTCCCGTTCATACTTCCTCTGACGTACACGCTCTCTCCCGCTCATTTTTCTCTGGTCCGGGTCGAAAAACTCGCGCCTTCCTCCTTCGTTTTTTTTTTTCTTTTTTTTCTTTATTCATCATCTGTTTTCTTTTAAACGTTTTGTTTTCTGTTTCTTCTTTTACGAAATGTTTCCTTCCCATTTTTATCTGTGGTCGATGAACGCAAAATTCTGGTCTGGACGAGCGGCGAGCCAGTATCCGCGCTTCGTTCGAAAAATTTACTGAATCTTTTCGGGGCTACCCTCCTTCGTCTTCCCGCCTCTCGCTGCGACCGTCACCTCTCGATCGTTCACTTACAACGCTGTCAGTTCTTGCGGTTTTGGCAATAACTCGGGCTTGGATTCTTCGGCTGGCTTGGACTCTTGCTTAGAGGAAGACTCCTCGGATGACTTCTCCTCCTCGCTGCCCTTGCTCTCCTTCTTCTCAGCTGATTTCTCCTCGGAGGATTCGTCTGATTTCGCTTCCTTCGCCTCCTTCGCTTCTTTCGCTGGCTCCTGCTGCTTCAATGGCTCTTCCTTGTTCTCCTCGGCTTGCTGTTCGGATTTTGCTTGAGGCTGAGCATCCGCGGTTTCGCGTTTAGCCTGGCTAGATTCGGCCGACTTCGCTGCCGATTGGTCAGCAGACTCTTGGGCGTTGCTGGAAGCAGCTGTGGCGACTGCTTCGACGTTCTTTGCTTCCTTCTCGGGTTGAGCGGGGGCTTCAGCAGGCTGCTTCTCCTCGCTCTTGGCCGATTCTTCAGGACTGATCGCTGGTTGTTCGACGATGGGCTGGGCCTTCTCGCTCTTGGCGGCTGGCTGGTTCTCCTCCGGGGATTTAGCCTGATCTTGTTGGCTGTTCTCAGCTTCGGCTGGTTGTTCTGGCGCCTTCTTCTCTTCCGGGGCAGCTACCTCGGCGTCACGGGTCACACGGTCGGGCTTCTCCTCGGCTTTCTTCTCCTCCTCTTGCGGATTCTCGAGCTTCTTCTCCTCCGCAGCTGGCTGAGCCTTCTCTTCCGACGATTCGGAAGCTGCAGAGCTCGCCTCGTCCTCCTTCCTTACGCTAGGCTTGGCCTCTTCGGCCTTCTTCTCTTCCGCTACCTCTTCCTTTGCCGCTTCCGAGCTCTTCTCCGCAGAATCTACCTGCTCGGAGCTCTTGCCCTCTGCCACTGCAGATTTCTGCAACGTGAACAAGATTCGGTTGAGAAAATCATGTTCTGTCGTTCGCATTACTATCGAGGGAATTAAATTCTGTCACTCGTGACTGGATTGTGAATGTTTGTGCAATTTTTTTGTATTCTTTTTTCGAAGGTATTTAAAAAAGCGGAGAATTTGTTTATTACGTGTTATAAGGAGCATTATACTTTGAATATTTTATTTTCGTCGCATCTTCAATCGCGTGAAAATTCGCAGTCTGCTCGTAACAATTTTGAGCATTTGGAATTATCTATCGTAATTCATATTGACAATAACAAATAATATATCCTGTGAATTTTCGTCTGTAGGAAATTTTACAATTTTGCAAAAAATTCGTAAGAACTGAATGCGTTTAATATGAAGAAAAGAATATGTAAAATATGTAAACTAAAAATATGTAATTCGTAGAACAACTGTCTACCTCTAACCTCTACTTTCTTGATTATCTTCTCAAGATGAAAAAGCTGGAAATTCTGTTAAGAAAATTAGGCGACTTACACCAACGGGTTGTTCTGCCGGCACTTCAGCAGCGTCCTGCTTTTGTTCTTGAGGAGCGGCCTGCACTACGGTCTCGTGAGACTCGGAAGCCGCCTGCTTTAGGCTCTCTTCCTCCTTCTTGGCTTCTGGTACCGGTTCAGGCTTCTGCTCTTGCGCAGGCTGTTGCTGCGGCTGCTGCTGCTGCTGTTGCTGCTGCTGTTGCTCAGGCTGCTTCTCCAAGCCGGATTGTTCTTCCTTCTTCTCCTCGGGTTTCGCTTGCTGAGCGTCCTCTTTCTTCTCCTCGGCGTTCTCAGACGGCTGAGCGTTCTCGGCCGCGAGCTCGCTTCTCACACTCGGTTTCTCAGCCTCGGCGGACTTCGCCTCGGCTGCTGGCGGTGCTGCGGCTTCCGAGCTCGCTGCCACAGTGACCTCGGGAGTCGCTGGGACCTCGGGTTTGCTCGGGTTCGCCGACTTCTCCAGTGGGACCACCTGGAGAGGATCCTGGTTCTCGGCCACGGGCATCGAGAGCACTTTTTGGCCGAGCAGGCACAGCATCGTTACTACGAGTAGCTTCGTCATCTTGATATCTGGAAATCGAATTCTCAATGATTCTCCCCCTTTTCTCACCTTTGTATCGTGACACTTTTGTTTCTTCTTTTACGCCCTCACGATTTCTTTATGGCTGGTAGTTGTCTAACTAATTTCAAACGTTTACGAGTTCATCGATTCGGCAATTCGGAGGCAATTAAACTCGAGTAGAAATCGAAATCGCGGTCCAGAAATAAAATCTAAAACGCCGAGAAGATTCGGAGATTACGATAACGTCACGCGTGCGGTGTCGGGAGAGAAACGCCGGCTGCACGTAGGAGCGTAGAGAGAGGAAACGAGGACGTCTCTCGCAATCTTCCAGTTAGGAGAGCGGACGTGAGTACGCGAGCTTCTCTTTCGTACTTGGAATGAATGCGGCCGTATGAATGGACCACCGATAGACGCGCGAGACGAAAAGCAGGCAGAACGTAACAGAGAGAGAGAGAGAGAGAGAGAGAGAGAGAAAGGGAGAGAATGAAAATTGAAGGATGGACAAGGGGCTGCTAGAGGAACCGGCAGGAAGGAGAGGGACGGAGGTGACATTGAACCGAATGCATTGAACAAGGCGAGCGTTATGGAACTAATGACAGGATGCGTGCCCCTCGTGTCCGTTACGCGCGCGTGTTCGCATCATCGCGCCTCTTCCCTCTGTATTTCTTCGCGTTCGCGTGTGTTGTTGTTCAAGCTCCTGGATGCTAGAGATTTCATCCGACAGTTGTCTGATTTTTGCATAGGTTGCATCGTTTTCAGATCGATCGTTGCTCGAGTTTCACACGTGCGGGCGGATTTTTCAGGCCGGGGAAGTTATATTGAATGATTACGCACGTATTTAGATTGAAAATTATGTCGAATCATTGGAATTAACGTAGAAACTTTGAATCTTAATGCAGATTTCCAAGATGAAAGTTTTCAGTTTCGCGATGAATGAAGAACAGTAAAAATCGGGATAAATGAAACGAGAACGAACGTTGCGTGCGTGGCGAACGGAGAGTGAAACATGGGTGTAACTTCCGCAACAGGTGGAAACGGAAAGAGTGAAGGCATTGTTGTTGGCTCGGTGGAAATCGAGTCGTTTCGACGATCGAGATACTACTTGGGGAAAAAATGCTGTCCGATCTATCGCGAACTACCAAAGTATATATATATATACTTTATTCGGTACTTTAGTTTATAAAATCCACGAGTGGAAATTAAATGGCTAGAAAAATATTAATATATATAAAAATATAAATATATATATAAAAATATAAAAATAAATATAAAAAATATATATACTATATTGTATAAACATTAATATATATATACGAATCTGTATATATATAGATTCGTACGTGCTTCGCTGACCACGAGTATTAATATTTTTCTTTAGTCATTTAATTTCCACTCGTGGATTTTATAAACTAAAGTACCGAATAATGTAACATTTGCTAGAATTTTCCAACGACTGCACGGTATGAACGTCTTGATGTCAGCGAGATTGGTAACGTACCAACGTGGTACTCGCTCGAGTCTAATTATAAAACGTCGACTGCTATTATGAAGCTCATCGCCGTGTAAATCGATTCCGTTGCGCACATCGGTATCGTATGAACATCGCGAAGCCTTTGGCGAGCATCGAGGTTCACGTATTCAGAGGCAGATACGGCATAGTGTGGGCAGACGTGAAACCAGAGACAATGGTCGCGGTGTCGCGTGGACACGATTTGCTTCGCGAGTGCGTTCGGCGATCGAGCGAAACGCGAAACGCTGACGAAATTATATTAATACGCGCGCGTACGTACGTATAACGAGGAGTTAAACTGGTTGTCAAGCTACGTGGAACGTGGCATAGAAAAGAAAAAGAAAAAAAAAGAAAGAAAGATCAAGCACGATGACATTCTTTCGATTTCACGTAGAGCGTAGAGCGACCTTCCGTTCAGGAGGCTCGAGCTCTCGAGCTTGCGTCCAATCAAGCGGGTAATTTATACAGAGAGGAAGCTGTTCCCGTTGCGTGCACAGCCAGAAACGCTCGTTCGCGAACGTTCCATCGTGAAAATCAAAACTGGCCGGCAACAAATGGCCAGCGTTGGAACCAGTTTGGTAGAACGATTCCTACGTCCGTGTTCGGTAGAAAATGACGATGCTGGAACATCTCGGAAGAGGAGAGCTCAGTCGTGTGTTCGTTGACGACGAGAAAAAGGAAAAGAGCTGTCGTTATCCGAGAGACAGACACGCCTTCTGGATAACGAACGCAACGAACGCGCGGAATGCGCATCGAGAAGGTGAACGCAAAAGCCAGAGAGGGAAAACGGGTGGATAAAGAGGGAAAAACTGGGCGACACAAGCGGCCAGAGGAAACGAGGCGGCTCCCAACGGTCCAGTTTTTGCGATACACTTCGTTCCACGCGTTCGCCAATTGGCCACCGTTCGGTTCTGTTATTTCGCTCGTGCCCGATCGTGATCCATCGCTATCGAGCGAGATCGGCGTCGATCGGAAACTTTCCTTCCGAATTTCCATTTTCATGGAATTTCGATGGAAAAATCGCTCGTGTACACGCGTGTACGTAAGTTTGAGACGAGATCGACGAGAGAGAGAGAGAGAGAGAGAGAGAGAGAGAGAGAGAGAGAGAGAGAGAGAGAGAGAAAGGGAGGTACGATTGTTCACTTACGTAGGAAAGAGGTGAACGTTGAGAAGGAGACGAACTCGTTGAAGACGGCGAGAAGCGAAATTAAGTATAAGGGACAAGTATACATTAGCGAGTCGCATAATCGACGTTAATAACAATCGTCCAGGCCTGATCGTGTTGCAAGCGGACGTAATGGGCCGCAATAAAGTTAATTGCAAATTACTTTGCGAGTCACGGACGTGGAGGTAACGTTCGCGCGTAACGTTGTTACATGTGTATGTGAGCGTTCGGCGTTTCGGCTGATCGCAAATTTGATTTGCTTTGTCGTACGCGAGAGTCGAGGATGAGAAAGAAGCGGAAGAAAGGTGGAGAGGGGGCAGAGGAGGAAGGAGAATCCAAAGTGCCGCAAGAAAATTAAAGTCACGATCTCGCGAGGGATGCAAACACCGGCGAGAGGGATTAGGTGGACGGAGAGGAAATGCCTGTGACAGATGATGGACACCCATTACCTTATCAAGATGATCAGAGATGTAATAATGGTACCACGCTTACAAAAGAAGACACACGGGGTCCATTGAAGTGGTTCACTGCTTCAATGCTTTCTGCCTCCTTCTCTCTCTCTCTCTCTCTCTCTCTCTCTCTTTCTTTCTCTCTGCGCCGCAGAGATCTCTATTCGACACGCAACACGCCGTTTATACTATATCGGCTCTGTCCTTTTCGCGATTGTCGATCTAATCTGCGCACATTGAATCTCAACTGGACGGGAGAATGCGTCGCAGTTAACGCGATCGCGCAGGAATGCCGGTTGTTGCCTCTAATCGGGCTATGAAAGAGGCCCCCCCCCCCCCCCCCGCTGCCGTTTCTCGACGTCGTTTCAATTACCATTTCGAACGCTGCGTTTCGTTTCGATTTTACTCTGGTCACAACATCGCTAGATATCATAGAAAATTATACCGCTTTGGAGAAGAACGTTGGTGAAGGATTTTCGTCGAAAAGCATCTAGACTAGCTAGAACTTTTACAAAGACATTTTTAAATTGATTCCCCTTTGAAATTAATGCGAAATGTATGTGGCGTTGAAGAAATACATATTATCGAGTGTTTGAAACTTTCCAAATCGTCTAGGCCCTAAATATCGATTTTCAATTTAATCTAATTTTCACGAATCTAATAAGCAAGATTTTTTAGATCCTCCAACACGAGATCATGATTTTCCGAGTCTTTCTTTTTTAAAACACGAGACTTTTTAAACAAGAAACACGAAACACGAGCATCCACGCTGATAGAACGGTAATTTTAACGCGTCCAGAAGAAAAATTACTAAATTGTATGAACTTTGCTACCCTAGCAGAAAACTCTCAAAGTTTTCTGTTTCTTTAACGCCTTTAAAGACTCGTGAAAGAGATCTACCGTACGCGTAGATTTCACAACATTTCCAATCGTCGATTTTACGCATGAATTCGTTTAATTGGAAATACAGGGCTAAAAACGAGAATGGGAATAGACTGGATGGGAAACGAGATGGACGGCTCCGAAATGAGGTTCCTGGCAAATTGGAGGATCCTCGGTTGGCTTGTTCGCGCCTCGTGTGTCGCAGCCTCGCCGACGCGCAGATTATAAGCAGATTAGCGACGAGTTAATTAGCCTCGGGGAAATCTCGTCGGGTCTATGGGGCGGAGAGGACGAGGGGAGAGGGAGGGTGGGAGAGGGAGGAAAGGGGTTACGGTTGCGAGACGAGGACGAAAATTACGCAAACATTACGCGGTCATTCGTTGCGAAATGCACGCAAATTGTATGTTCCGACGATTATTCCGTTTAACGATTTCCTCGCTTTAATCACCGACGCGAGTTCCGAAGACAGCCATTTCGCGAGACGCAATCGAGTTAAGCTGTACCTTGTTCGCCCACCGCGATCGTTGACGTTCCTCTGTTAACCTCTGGAAACTTCTAAATACCACGAGAGATCTCACGATCCGTGATTAGTCGTCTTAGCCCGAGATTTTTCTTTTATGTCTCAAACTTTTCTCAAGTTTCTTTCTTCGCGTGTCAGCAAGAGAAAAAAAAAAAGAAGAAGAAAGAAAACACGCGCGATGACGTTTGGCTAACCCCAAATTTGAATAATCGGATAAACCTGCGTTCGAATCGAGGAAGGAAGAGAAAATTCAAGCAAAATGAGAAAAAAAAAAAAAAAAGATACAGGCTGTCGACGACGGGACTGTACGACTATACGAAACGATAAAAAAGAAACGAACATTCTACTCACGTCTTTTTCTCTCCTCCGTGGAACTGGTCAGAGCGGCGGCTGGTCGTCGACTCGTTGTCCGGTAGACTAGATGATTCCTAGATGATTCTTCGCCGCTTCAGCCGCGGGGGAAATTACTCTCACCGATTGAACTGTCGCTCGGGAAAAGAGGAGGAAAAAAAAAAAAGACAAACTGTTCGACGACGTTATTACGCGTTTATTGCACGGTTTCGTCGTGTGTGCAAAACTCCTGTGTCGAGCAAGAGCAAAAGACAAAAGAGAGCGTCGGAAGAGATGCCCCGAGAAGTAAGTTACCCTCTCTCTCTCTCTCTCTCTCTCTCTCTCTCTCTTTCTCTTCTTTTTTTTCCGCGCGCGTGACGATTACGCTCGTTCGCTCGTGGGAACCACGTTCGGTTGATATCGGGATGAAGGTTGGGTCGTGTGTCGAGATGGAATCGTCGGGGCCTCGCTTATATACCCATTTACCCACCAGCCGCGCCACGGCCAGGATCGTATAGGGGGCCCCGACCCTCTTCACCCGGCGTCCCACCACGGGCCCCCCTTTTATTCTCCTCTTCTCGTCCCTATTCCTCGTCGTTCCTCTTTCCTCCACCTCTGTTGCACCCCTCCCACAGCCCCTCGCGGACGTTCCCTCCCTCCGTCCGGCACAGTCGTTGACAACTATCTCTCTCTCTTGTGTACCATCAACCGCGATTCCCGATCGTTCGCCGTTTTCCTTCTCGCGCACCGTTTTCTTTCTCTCACAATCAGGCTGTGTGCTCCTCTCGTCGACGAAACGACCCACGCCGTCCACGAGCAGGAGCAAAACGAACCGAGGGCTGCGATCCTCGCAGGAGATTTTCAAATATCGAATCGGTGTTGGGTGGTTCGCGATGCGCTGCCACTAACGTTGACACGTTATTGCGTCGAGGTGTCTCAACCTGGTGCAATGGTTCTTGTTCTTGGAATTGCTGTTCCGTTGTCGTTCTTGGCTCTAGCATGGTACATCTTGATCAACGAGACGACTTGCTCGGACGTTCGCTTTGTTCCGGTTCGGTCGTCGAACTTCGACGTATCAATGATGAATATTATGGATAAAAGTGGAAGGATGATTGGCGAAGGTGATCTTCTTCGGTGATCGGTCAATCGATCGAGGAAGGTTTCGGGAACATCGAGACGACGTGTGCTGTTGCTCGGAGCCGGCGAGTGGGCGAAACGTGTCAACTCGTCTTTTGTGAGATACATACGTTCGCGGAGTGAACGTTCGTTGTACATTTGTCAAGCGTACGTTGTTTCGTCGCGAGGTCGTTGATGCTCGACTCAACAGCTTTCGTTGCTTTGCTTCTGCGAGAGAGTTTGTTTCGTGAGAGCTTTTTTCCAAAGATTTCAGTCAACTTTTAGAATAAAGAAACAATTGTTTCCATAATACACTTTCTTCAAAAGTTAATCGACACTTTGCATTTCACGCTTTATATAAAAACATCAACAATCTTTGCATTTATGTCCGTCGACATCAATCATGTCTTCTAACCTGTACATCATAGTTATGATCTGAATAATTTATTTCTTTTAACATCCTCTGATATATTTTTTAGTTCTTCTCGTTAGATCGTAAGAACCGGTTGCAAATTATATTCTGGAGGTTTCTTACGATCAGTGACGATCGATCTTCGTCGTCTTCTTCCTTCGTCGTTTTCTGATCGATCGCTGCTCGAACGAATTCGAATTTCGTTTCGAAATCGTTGACGTTCGACGCGGTGTTTCGTGACGCACCTGCGCGTTTAGCACGATTCATTTTTTTTTTTCCATTGTGCGAATAGGACGATGTTTTAAAAGCAGTTCGTTCAGCATGATTCAGTATCGACCGGAAGTGCAGCGATGGCGCGGTGCGAGCTCTTGATAAACGTGAAAAGGACCTTGATGTTTGACCGCGATGAATAGAAATATTAGGACACGCTGATTAGCTCGTGGAACGAGGCTTTTTGGCCTTCTTGGCCGTTCGTATTTCATGCGATCGAATATCTATCTTTTTTCTTTTCTTTAACTAAATTTGAAGAAATTTATTTCATATCTCGTGCAATCGAATCTAAATTAAATTTGAAAAGGTATCGATGATATAATATATATTATTCATTGGAAGTTGTACATTTACAATTTCTCTACGGTCATTTAAATTGTTCTGCACGATCATTCATCAATTAATTGGCACGTTGTTGATAAATTATTTTATCTTTCATTCATCTTCCGATGAGTATCTTGACATCAGAACGAGATATGTAGAAATATATATATATATTTGTAATGCATGTAAATCAATCAATGACACGAAGATTTCGAATTTCGTTCGTCGAATGAGAATTACAAATTCCCTAGCTTCGAACTTTTCGAATCTGCATTCAAATATAATTAATCAACGAGGTTCCAATTCCCGATAGAAAGTTGAAGACGCGCAATCCTTCGTACGTCTTGAAAAACTGTAAAAAGGATCAAGGACCAAGGAGTTTTCTGTGTCAAAACGAATAACAAAATCTTTTGTGCTACTTGTGTTTAACGAGTCTTTCAAAATTACTTGGTTTGCCTAAAATTCTAGATTAGAGAAAACTCTAGATGAGAGAATTGTCAACGTCACCTATGGAGCACAATTTCGTTGCCCGAATCCACGAAACTTCGACGAGACGAGTTCTGTCTCTGTTTTTGTCTCGCCTCTCAATGAGTGCAAACGAATCATCTCGCACGTGTCCGACATACTCAATTACTCGAAAGACGCGACTTTCCTGGAGGTTGTTCGCTTGCTCGCGACGGAAGTGCGCGCAGAATTTGTAACAGAGCTTAACTAATTCTAATTTGGTCAGGTCTGGCGTGTCAGGTTCGCGAAACCAGTCCTAAAACTATTTAAAAAGGTTTGTTGGTCGTCGTCGTGGAGGAACTTTTTCTCAGTTGTTTAACAGGAAACGAACGCGTCGTTAAATTTCTTGATTTCAGTGTCACTTTATAATTGAAAAAGTGGTCGAAGATGAAAGGAATTTGTTTGATCGAGTTGAAAACCAAATTGTCAAAGGAAACGGTATTTTAATATCGTGAAAGTTTCCGATATTAAATTTATGATATGATTTATATCGAATAAATTTATGATATGATTTACATCGAAACTATTATTTTATGATGTCAGAATCGATTTTTACGGTGACTGAACGTTTATGGCGCATTAAAAAAATCCATTGTGTACTATTTGCTATTTACTTTTTGCACGATTATTTAACTGTATGACGTAGTTGATCACTGAACTCAGAAAGAATGTTTTATAAATTTACGCAAGAGCTTGGGTACATTTTACTTTGTACGTTTCTATATATATTCATGTTTCTATTTCAAAAGACAGCAGTATAATTTTAATTCATCTCCATATTCAATCGGTTGTCAAAGTTTTGCTAAAAGCCTTTTAGAAACCCGGCAATTATCAAAAATGAGAAAAAAATCTGACGAAAGATTTTATCTCGGCAAATTTGAATTACGACTTCCAAGGAATTTCTTAACTTCGTGACAACTGTCAAAAAAAAAAAAAAAAAAAAAAAAAAAAATCGACATCTTCCTTCTTTTTAAACTAAATAGAAACCCTTTTTTTTTTAATAAGCCTTTCCCCCGATCGAACTCGAGACTCGACTCAACCCTGATATCAGAAATCTTAATTATATAAAACCGATCGTCCAACCAGAGAGCCAGCCGTCGAATCATCCGTTATGGCAATTTCAGCCACAAGTTACCTCGTCCCATCCGTAGAACACGTTCACCGTCGTCGCGGTCACTCCGATCGGTATCGATTGATTAACGCAAATCGTTTTCGTAATTCATCCGGTCCGTGATTCATCCGCGTCAACTCGTCTCTTTCTCTCGCGTGTAGACGCGTGCATGCATGCATGCGTGCGTGGCCACCGCGTTATGTAAATGTCGCGGCGTGCGTGCGTGCGTGCGTGCGTGCAAAAGACGGACGAGGTCGCCGCGGAGCGCCACGATTTTCCATCGCGAATCGATTGGATTCGCGGAGTCCAGCCTGTTGCCAAACAGGCGGACGGACGAAGGCTGGCGCGACGCATCTCCGACGATCTCTCGGACCGGTTCTCTTCAGGGCGAAGGTCGTCGGCTGATGTGAGGTCGTCGATACCGAACGACGACGAGCCTGCTGCTCGCCGGATTTTTGCTCGGGCAACGCTGCGCGTGGCACGCCTGATGGATGACCGGCACGGCGATTTCTCAGGCGGCAGGGGATCGCCGAATAATGCAAATTTATCCGCCGCTTTCTCAACTTCGTTCCTTTTTCTCTTTGATTTCTTCTTTCGTTCTTTGGTTCTTTAGCTCTTTAGTTGCGTTGGAGTAGTTTTAGTTTTGGTGCAACGGTGCAACGAAGTTTATCGGCTTGTTTTTTCGATGGTCCAATCTTTTGCTTCGCAGCCTTTCCTTTCCTTTTCTTTTCTTTTTTTTTTTTTTTTCGTGGTTGGTCAATCAGTTCTGCTCCGGGACGTTAGAACCAGCGAGTAACGCGCGCGTATGCAAATCTACCTCTGCAGCCTCGTTTTTCTTTTTCACTTTGGTCTTTTGATTTCTAGTGGGATGCTTAGATCGGTTAGATCGTGATAGAGTATAGTGGTATAATCTCTTGGTTTCTTAGGTTTCTTGCGTGGATTGGAATTGAAATACAGTGGAATGTCAATTATTGAAACACTTAATTAAATTAATGGAGAATTTGGTAATGATCCTTTGTGAGAATCGTGCAACAAATGATCAAATACTTAATATAATTTACGAAGAGTACAATTGATTTAGAAAGCAGGATAGATATAAATGCCCCCCCAAAAAAGAGAGAAAGAGTACCAGGAAAAACGGCCGGAAGACATTATTATTATAAAACGAACATCACGGAGCTCGTGTTAACAGATTAACAAATTTCCTCGTGGCTGTGCTACCGATTAAGATCGCATGTGATCAGCTCGAGTGCATCGCGACTCGCCATAAATATTTCCTGATCGTTGCGAGTTTATTCCATGGGACTTGTACCTGAGAAAGGGGAAACGGGGGCGGGGAGGAGGAGGATGCGAGAATGGACGTGTTATTAGTAACACTTGTTCGCAACGGGAGCCAGAAAACTCGATTATTCATCCGGCGCCTCTAGCCAACGGCGTCACGATATTCTCTTGCAAAAAAGTGCCGAGAGACGTTCTCAACTTGTTTCTCCGAGAGATTGCTCGTTTTTCCAGAACGTTGCCAGTTTTTCGCTTTTATTACTTTTTCTCTCTGGAAAATATATGGTTCTTTTCCTTTCCCCTGGATTTCTTGCAGTATTTTTATAGTTTCGAGAGCACAAAATTATCGCATCGAGATCTCGTATCTCTTCGCCGTCTATTTGAAAATTGTCAATTTTTACGATTTCTGTCCTCCCCCCTTCTTTTTTTAATCTTTTTCTCGTTCGAC